CCTCTTCCAGGCCAGCTCTCTGCTATGGCCAGGGAGTGCAGTGGAGGATGGCCCAAGTCCTTGGGCCCTGCACCCGCATGGGAGACCAGGAGAAGCACCTTTCTCTCTCTCTCTCACTGTCCACTCTGCCTGTCAAAAAAAAAAAAATCATTAAATATCTGAAGATACAAATACAGTTGCTGACTATACATTGCCAAATGCTGAAACATTATATTGCACTCCATAAACTTGCAAAATTTTTGTATGCCCATTAAAATTTTTGATTTAAAAATCTTGTTTTGGGGCCAGTGCTGTGGCATAGTAGGTTAAGAATCTCTGCGGCACTGGCATCCCATATGACACCAGTCCAAGTCCCAGTTGCTCCATTTCCAATCAAACTCTCTGCTAATGTGCCTCTGGAAGATGGCCCAAGTACTTGGGCCCCTACACCCCCATGGGAGACCCAAAAGAAGCTCCTGGCTCCTGGCTTTGGATCAACACATCTCCAACCATTGTGGCCATTTAGGGAGTGAACCAGCAGTTGGAAGACCCTTCTCTCTCTCTGTCTCTCCCTCTCTCTGTGTGTAACTATGCCTCTCAAGTAAATAAATAAATCCTTTTAAAGAAAATCTTGGTTTAAAAAGACTTGAATAATCACCTTTTCCCCATAAAGTTAAAAAGCATACAGCAGGGAACCGGTGCCGTGGCATAGTGGATAAAGCCGCTGGCTTTCCATATGGGTGTTGGTCTGAGTCCTGGCTGCTCCGCTTCCCATCCAACTCCCTACTAAAGTGCCCAGGAAAACAGTAGGGAATGTCCCAAGTGCTTGGGCCCCTGTACCCACATGGGAGACCTGGAAAAAGCTTCTGGCTGCTTTATTTCCACCTAGACATTGTGGCCATTTAAGGAGCGAACCGACAGATGGGAAATCTCCCCCCCACCTCCGCCTTTCAAATAAATCTTTAAAAAACAAAAAAAGGGGGATGGCACTGTAGCATAGCAGGTAAATCCACCTCCTACAGTGCTGGCATCCCATATGGGTGCCAGTTTGAATCTCAGCTGCTCCACTTTAGTCCTTGGGCCCCTGCACCCACATGGGAGACCTGGATAAAGCTGTCTGCTTGCTTTGGCCTGGCCCAACCCTGGCCATTGCGACCATTTGGGGAGTGAACCAGCAGATGGAAAATCCCTCTCTCTCTCTCTCTCTCTCTCTCTCCCTCTGCCTTTCCTTCTCTGTAACTTTGCCTTTCAAATAAGTAAATAAATCTTAAAAAAACATATTGCAGGCTAGCAAAATATAATCAACCAATATTCAAAATGTAATACTCGGGACTAGTGCCGTGGCTCACTTGGTTAATCCTCCGCCTGCGGCGCCGACATCCCATATGGGCACCAGGTTCTAGTTCCGGTTACTCCTCTTCCAGTCCAGCTCTCTGCTGTGGCCTGGGATAGCAGTGGCAGGTGGGTGCTCAGGTATGGTCAGGTAGAGCATGATGTCACACAGGGGCGTGGTGAGGGTATCAGGTAGAGCATGATGTCACACAGGGGCGTGGTGAGGGTATCAGGTAGGGCATGAGGTCACACAGGGGCGTGGCAAAAGTGTGGTCTTCCAGCTCACAAACCTAATCAATTTTAACCTGTATGCCTGTCTACTTCATGCCTTTTAGATAAAAATAAATTTTTAAATGTGCTACAAGTGATAATATTAGTAATATAAACAGATTACTCATTAGTTAAAGGTAATTATATTGAATGTTTTATGATCATTGATTAACAAGCATCCTTTCATAGGTGCCTGGAAAACATTTTGCCTTGTCTTTATAACACACTCTAGGGAGAATGACCAATTTATTATCTTTGAATTATTTCTATCACTGTACATAAAGAAATATATCTGAAGATACCAGAGCTGCTCCAATGAATAATGGAAAGTATTTGGACCTCAATGGGTTGGGTAGTACTAATGATATACTGTAAAAGTTATTTGTAAATCTTGCCAAAATTTCTAACAAAATTATAAAATGCATGTAGTTCAATGTTTGAAGAGTAAAAATGCTTTAAGATGTTTCAATTTTGTAAGTTACATTCTAAAAGATGTCAATACTTTTTAAGAAGAAAATAGCCTGTTTATTAAAACTAACAGTAAGTCAGTTGACCATAAAGAATTGGATTTATAAAATTGAGTTAAGGAAACTGAAAATTAAGCATAAGACTGTTGGAGAAATTATGATATGTCACTTGAACCAAAATAAAATAACAATTCAAAGAGACTCATAAAAAATGCAATACTCCCAAATTGTGGACAGATTGACTGCAAATCAACAACACAGAAATCCAGTGCCCCAGGGAAGCTATGGGAAAAGATACTCATTCTCACCAACAGTTAAAGAAATAACAAACCAGACAATGGATATTGCTTCCTGCTACCTGATGGGGAGGAAACTGGTCACTTACGATGTTTGTGGTGCATCCAGAGGATGCCAGGCCCTTTCATGAACTGATGACGGTAGAGGAACCTGGCACAGTCTTTTTGCAGAGCGACTTAGCAGTACTTATCAAAACTGAACTGTCCATAGACACCACCCAGCGAGATAACCCTGAGGGCACAGAAACGCTGGTCCAAGTTCCCGGACACTGACTCCAAGAATACTGCAGATAAGCACTTCATGTTTATGCATGAGCTAACCATCAAAGAAATTACCATACGGCCACACGGAGTCACTGAAAATAACAACATGGAGCCAGAGGTACTGACCAAGAACGGGGCCACAACACACTGCCAAAGCACAGGACGGTGTAATTAGTAAAACATCTTTTTTTTACTAAGGAAAAAAATGGAAGGAAAACGTAGGCTTGGGTTTGCATGGGGAAAAGCATGGAAAGATGTACACACTAGGCTGTTGGCAGCAGTCAACTCTTTTCTTCTCCTTTTTCTTTCTCCTTTATTTTTCTTTTTTTTTTTTTTTTATTTGAGAGGCAGAGTTATAGAGAGAGAGAGAGAGAGAGAGAGAGAGAGATCTTCCATCCGCTGGTTCACTCCCCAAATGGCCACAATGGCTGGAGCTGGAGTGATCCAAAGCCAGGAGTTTCTTCCAAGTCTCCCATGTGGGTACAGGGACCCAAGCATTTGGGCCATCTTCTACTGCTTTCCCAGACCATTAGCAGGGAGCTGGATCAGAAATAGAGTAGCCAGGACTTGAAACGGTGCCCATATGGGGGATGCCAGCACTGCAGGCAGAGGCTTAACCTACTATGCCACAGTGCCTGCCCCCAGTGACCCCTCTTCTAGAGAGAGATATGAGTGTGCAGAAGAAGGAAGGCAAGCTTCCAGTTTTACTTTCTATGTTTTTGCGCTGCTTGTATCCTTTGCAATATGTACATCCCTTTTTATAACGTTAAAGTCGTTTGATTTGGGAGGACTGCATCCTGGGTTTAGCAACCCAGAGGTCATTGGTGAACTTGGCAACAGCTGTCTGCCACACGCTGTAGGAAGGAAGCCGGTTGCAGTATTTGTGGAACAGTGAGCAGGAGGGGAGAAAAGTAGAGAGTGACTGTTAACCATGTTTTAAATAAGCCTGCCTGTGAAAAGGAGAAGCTAGCAGAGTGGGGAGCTGAGGGGGTCCTGGGACAGAGGAAGACATTGGCAAGTTCGGGCGCGGAAGGGGAAGGTAGCTGAGGGACAGAGGGGACAGTTGCGAGGCTCCTCAAGGACGACCGAGGCAGTGAGCCCCCGCTCCATACACAAAGGGTCCCCAGGGACAGAAGCAAGGACAGCCCTGGTGCTGGTCCTGGAAGGGAGGGGGAGGGAGGGAGGGAGGGAGGGAGGGAGGGAAGAAGGAACTGTGTCTCCAAGTTCAGACAAGACTATGGGCAGTGGGGTGTGGGAGGGGCTGGGTGCCTCTTCCTTATTACAAAAGGCACTGCAGGTTCAGGATGCACAAGGTGGACTCGGAAAACCTCCTCCATCAGACTGGCAGGCTCCTCCAGAAGCCGTTAGGGAGGAAGGCGTGAGCATCCCCAGGGCTAACCCCCCGCAGGCCCCGGGGCCGGTGTGCAGAGTCCCAGGACAGACCTCATGGTTCCTGGAGGGGTGGGAACACCTCCCCCGGGGCCGCCTGGCTCAGCAGTTTCCCCATCCAGGCTGCTTCACTTTTTTCCTGTCCAACAGCCCAGACAGCTACCGAGCCTTGAGTCACAGGGAGGTGTCGGTGGCCAGCCCGCTCACAGGCAGTGGCTGTCGCAGCAACAGCAGGTAAGTGAGCCTCATTCTTATGGCAGCCGGGGAGGTGTGTGTTGGAAGGGACTCAGCAGCCATAGCCAACTTGGGTGAGGGACTGCAGAAGCTTAGAGCTAGAGATAACCACCTAGACCATGGTGCCTCGGGACCCTCTGGCCACCATGGACAGCTTCTGTGTCTGCACACCCAATGTGGCACCTCTGGACACCTGTGGCTACTGAGCACCTGAAATGGAGCTGGTATGACTGAGCACCTGGCTTTTTGATTTCTTTTAATTAATTGCCATTTAAATGGCTGCTTATGGCTAGTAGCTCCCATGCTGGGTGGGACAGTCACCAAAGAAGGGTGCGGACGCCCTCGGGGACGTGACTTGTCCAAGCTCACCTGGCCATCAACAGCAGATCCAGGTGGAGCCGCCAGTTTTTTCCTTCACTCAACCACGTACCTGGGCTCTGCCGAAACGAATTCACCTTGACGGACACTGAGAAGTGGGTGGGTTGGGTAATGCCAAATCTGGCTCCCCTCTCAACAGCCTTGGGATCTGGCGGGGGGGGGGGGGGGCACCCCCACCCCACCCCCACCTTGCCCAGTGCAGAAACCTGAGGCTGGGCTCCTGCCTCTGTTTCTGGTGGGCAGAACAGAGGGTTGGAGAGAAGACTGCAAACTGTTTCTAAAAACTTCTAAAGCCCCAGTCCAGCTGTGTCACCCTAGGTAGGTTGCTTAACCTCTTGCAAGCTTCATTTCCTCACCCAGAAAGTGCCGACTTTCATTTGGCCAGGTGTCATTGCTTTCTTCCCCAGTGTGGGGAGGAGAGAGGTGACCAACAGTTGCCATCAGACTCTTTCTTTGGGGTCATCTGCTTGAATGAGTCTGCTGTGGGCTTTGAGAACTTCCTAGGCCTTGGGACGCATGGAGCAAGAGGCCTGACAAGGGCTAGCAGAGGGGACTGAGGCACTGTCCACTGGGTAAGGGGTCAGGTGGGAGCAGGACATCAGTGTTCACGGCTCCACCTCTGTTTACCTTTCATTTGTAACTGCTAGCCAGGGTCGCAAAAGACATTCTCAGTGTCATTTGACTCTGTTGTCAAAAGTGTATTTGAACTTGGTGGGGCGGGGGCAGGGGATTTTTACTTTGAACAAAAGACTTTCTTTCCGGAGGAAAGGGTCTTGGCTCCAAGGGGTGTTGGCTCCAACAGTGGGGGCTGCTACAGTGTTAGGGTCCTCAGATCCAATGCCAGGCAAGTAAACTGGGCGAAATGCCCAAAGAGGGGGCATGGTCAGAGCATATGGTGGAATGGGGAGGCAGGGGCCTCCCCAGGGCTGGGGGTCCCAGAGGGCACGGTATGAAGGGACAGAGGGGACAGTCGCGAGGCTTTAAGGATTTCCAAGGAGGGAAACGAGAGGCTCACGGTGCGGGCAGGAATGCTGCCGGACTTGGTCTCCATGTGCCCCCCCACCCCACCCCCGGACCTGCAGAGGAGCAAGCAGCAATGCCGCGGGGCTGAGGTGGGGCTGGGGAAACAGGGCAAAGATAAGAGAATGCAGTGTAGTCCTGGGCAAACCACTTTCTTTGGCTATCAGCTTCTGCATCTGTGAAATGGGAGGAAAACCCCTCTTGTCCCTTCCCAGTGTGAACTCCTGATCCTCTTGCCCTTCTGTGGGCCTGCCCACACTCCTGGGTCCCTTCATTCTCTCACCTTAGGCCTCCTTAACCCCAAAGGGAGACTTTGCCTCCTTCCCACAACCCTCTCCAGCAGCCATTCAGGGTAGCCGGGGCCTAGGGCTCCCCTGGGCCCTGCCAGCCCCCTTGCTTTGGCTGGAGTCGGCTCTGAGGATGGGCCAGCCACGGCTGGCTCTTCCTTCCCTACGCACCCTAAATGTCTGTTGATTATAAATACCAGGATTGCATTCAAATGATTTGCATTTGTTGTTGTTACAAGATTGCCTAAAACGCTTGGGACCTGGTAAACAAGCCCCATGCTGGCGCCTAGCAGTTTGGGGTAAGCTGTTAGAATTCCACCCACTTGTGGAGCCTGTTAACTGCCCTGAGTTGTAAAAAGGCCAGCATTTCTGCTCAACCAGGGATGCCCCCACTCGGGCAACTGAGAAGGGGACCGGGGGCAGGGGGCACAGGTGCCATCCAGGTCAAGGGCGTTTGGTTTATCATCCCTGCGAGGCTTGTTTCTTTACTTCTGGAGAAGTGACCAGAGCAGGTGCAGAATCTGCACGTAGGCTGACTTACCGATAGCTCGGGCACTTAGCTTACGAATAAATGTATTTACTATGCAAGGTGTCTTTATTTTTTTGAGAAAGAGGGCTATGCACAGAAAATAACACAAGTCGAGTTGTGGACGTCTTGCTGGAATCCTGGCTGACCCACTCCCAGGCTTTTGTGCTCATGGGCTGCTGGCTGAGCCGGTATTGGCCTCAGCGTTCTCACGAGCAAACGGGACTAATCCGCACCTGTGTGTAGTGACGAGGGAGGTCACGTTACCTTCGAGGCAGGGTACTGCACAGCCCTCACCTGTGTCACCGTCCCTTCCCTTCATTTGTCCCTTGAATCACCAACCCAAGCTGTCTAGGGGTTGGCAAATTAAAAAGCAAACACCAGCCACAGGAATCTCTGCCCCCAGCCCGGTTCTCTTTTCTGAGTGCGTTACCTTGTGTCCTGACTCGCACAGTCTCCCTGTAGAACATCAAGCTCCTCCACCCCACCCCGCCCCTCGCAGCACAGCTGCACATGGGATTATCCAAAATTAGGACTTCCTGTGGCTCCCACTCTGCTGCTGTTGTCTTTTCTGGTGGGACCACTTCTGCAGCTGCCCCAGCCAGGCCTTCTCCCTGCTGTCACTCAGGGATTCGTGGTTCTGTCCGCTCCCTGCACCTGCCATGTTCTGTACCCACTCTCAAAGGCGGAGCTTCCCACAGGTCATCTGTTCCCTTAAGAGCAGCTCTGGTCAAGTGCTGTCAGAGGTGACGTCACTCGATTGGACAGAACCCTGGGCCTCCGAGCAAAGTGCTCTTGGCCGTGGGACTGCAGAGCCAGAGACTTTTTTCTGGCCTTGCCAACCACACTGGGCAAGCCAGCTGTTCCACCTGCTTCTCCCACTCCCTCCTCATCTTCCTGGCCAGATGGGGCCTCGCCCTGGTCATCACATTTCCTAGGTTCACCAACGGATGGAATCTTCTCCATCTGTGACAGCAGGGTGCTGGGAGGCAGTCTGGCTGGCCACTAAGGTAGGAAAGGAAACCCTTCCCAGGAAGGGGAATGCTAACGAGTCCATCACTCACAGGAAAGGGCATTGTGTTTCTAGGTTCTCTTAATCCCATTCAACCTTTTTCTTTCTATGTATGATTGACAGTAACTGAGATTACCCTCTGCTAAAGAGAAAGCCTTCCTAGGGCTCCTTGGGTTGTTGTTGGAATACTTATGTTTGCTTTGCAAGGTTGTGCACTCTGGTTAATCTTTTTTTGATTGAGATATAATTTACACTCCACTCATTTAAAGTATATAATCCTGTGATTTTTAGTAGTTGTATAGTCACTGCCACTGATTCCAGAATGCTTTCATCACCCAAAAAAAGAAACTCTGTACTTGTTAACATTCCTCTTCCCACCCCCACCCCCAGTCCCTGGCAACTATTCATCTACCGTCTGTCTCTACCAGTTGGCCTGTTCTGATTATTTCACAGATGTGGAATCACACAGGATGGAGCCTTTTCTTTCTTTTAGAATGTCAGTTTCAAGGTTCATCTGTGTGCATCACGTATCAGTACTTCCTTCTTAGGGCTGAGTAATATTCCAGGGTATCTGCGAACCTGACTGTGTGTACCATACTTCCTTCCTTCTTAGGGCTGAGTAATACTCCAGTGTATCTGCGAACCTGACTGTGGTCATCCACTCATCGGCTGATGGGTATTTGGGTTCTTTCTGCTTAGGGACTGTTGTGAAGAAGGCTGTGGTCCATTCACGTACAAGTTTCTGTGCAGACATACATTTTCGTTAAAAAAAAAAAAAACTTTGTAAAGACACAGTCTTTTCTTAGGATTTATTTTATTTATTTGAAAGGCAGAGTGACAGAGAGAGAGAGAGAGAGAGAGAGGGAAAGAGGTCCTCCATCCACTGATTGACTCCCCAGAAGGCCACAGAGGCCAGGGGTGTGCCAGGTTGAAGCCAGGAACTCCATCTGGGTCTCCCATGTGAGTACAAGGGCCCAAGCACTTAAGCCATCTTCCGCTGCTGGATAGGAAGTGGAGCAGCTGGGGCTCAAACCTATGCTCCCACATGGGCTGCCAGTGTCACAGGCGGTGGCTTAACCCACTGCAGCATGATGCCAGCCCTGTGGCCATACAGTTTCAGTTCTCTCAGTTGTATCCCTGGGATGAGAATTGCTGAGTCCCATGGTGACCCCATCTTCTACCTTTCAAGCAACTGCTAGGCCATTCTCCGAAGCAGCTGAGCCATTTCACATTCCAACCAGCAGCACACGCAGAAGATTCTGATTTCTCTGCGTCTTCATTAACAGTGTCACTGCCCATCCTCTTTTTTATACGATTTATTTATTTATTTATTTATTTATTTATTTATTTATTTGAAAGTGAGAGAGAGAGAGATCTTCCATCCTCTGATTCACTCCCCAAGTGGCTGGAAGGCCCAGAGCTGAGCCAGGCTGAAGCCAAGAGCCAGGAGTTTCATCTGGGCTCCCACTTGGATGGCAGGGACCTAAGTACTTGGGCCATCTTCTGCTGCTTTCCCAGGCACATTAGCAGGGAGCTGGATCAGAAATAGAGCAGCCGGGATGCAAACCGGCGCCCACAAGGGATGCTGGCATTACAGGCAGTTGCTTTTCCCACTGCACCACAGTACTGACTCCTCCCTCCCACGCCGCCTGTCTCTTCTCTCATACTGGGTTTCACGCAGGGTGGGGTAGAGCCCGGGAGGACTGAAATACCAAGAAATGACATGATGGGGTCCTGAAGAAGAAGCTGATCTGGTAGCCGGGGTGTTTTGCTTCTTCTTTGGAAAACTGGGCTAACAGTTCAGAGTAGCTGTCACCGCCCCTGTACCCAGAAGCAGAATTTCAGCTACTGGAGTAGCAAGAGCAGAACCCACAGAGGTAGACTAAGCCTGCAGGGACAGAGGAAGGCGCACATAAGCAAGGCAGGAAGGGTCCCCACCAGGACAGGAAAGCCACCACACTTCCTGCTGCCCCACCCCTTAGCCTGGGTGCACACTGGCTTTCTCTGCTCACCCCCCTGCAGCAGAATGTAGTGGCCCCAGTCTCCCAAAATAATCCATTACACACGCTAGGAGAATCAGCCAGCCACCTGCTTATCAGACCACACAAACAGGCCCGCATCAGGCCTCCTTCTGTCCCTGTCAGCCGGCTGATGTTTCTTCTGGCTTGAGCCCACTGCAACTTCCTGCTGCCGCAGCACAAACTGGTTTTTTCCCCCCCAGGGCACTTCTTTTAAACTATCTTCCAGAAAGCAGGAGACAAGGATTCACCCCTGAGGTTTACAGTCCAGCCTGGATCTTTTTCTTGGAGTACAACCCAATTGGATGGCCTGCTTGGACCCCAGATTAGGAACTGAACAGCGTGTCTGTATCTAAACACGAAATCCAGCCGCAGCATCCAAAGACGCTCACCATTCAGGGATCCCATACAAGGGTTCTCTAGGGATTATCCAAAGAGAAGTTGCGACAATGCCATAGAAATTGTTCAGAAACTCGCTCTCTCTCTGACATTGAAGGGAATGATATAGTCTTTTCATAAAACGTGCAATGGATCACTAAATGTGTCACTTAACCTTAGAGACCCCACCACTTACATGGTAGAAGTGAAAATCGCTCCTGTGTAATATGCCGGCCAACACAAAGACACTTCCCTCCTGCCCCGTCTCTCAGGTGTGTGCGCAGGAGTGAGGGAGCTCTTCGTGTGTAGTAACCCTCATCTCTCTTCTCCACTCCAGGATTTAAGACTATCTCAGAAATGCAAGAGTTTACCTGGGAGAATTACAGCTATGAAGATTTTTTCGGCGATTTCAGCAATTACAGTTACAGCACTGACCTACCCCCTACCCTGCTAGACTCTGCTCCGTGCCGGTCAGAATCTCTGGAAACCAACAGCTATGTTGTGCTCATCACCTATATCCTGGTCTTCCTGCTGAGCCTGCTGGGCAACTCCCTGGTGATGCTGGTCATCCTGTACAGCCGGAGCACCTGCTCGGTCACCGACGTCTACCTGCTGAACCTGGCCATCGCCGACCTGCTCTTTGCCACCACCTTGCCCATCTGGGCCGCCTCCAAGGTGCACGGCTGGACTTTCGGCACGCCCCTGTGTAAGGTGGTCTCGCTTGTGAAGGAAGTCAACTTCTACAGCGGAATCCTGCTCCTGGCCTGCATCAGTGTGGACCGCTACCTGGCCATCGTCCATGCCACACGCACGATGATCCAGAAGCGCCACTTGGTCAAGTTCATATGCTTAAGCATGTGGGGAGTGTCTTTGATCCTGTCTCTGCCCATCTTACTGTTCCGTAATGCCATCTTCCCACCCAATTCCAGCCCGGTCTGCTATGAGGACATGGGGAACAGCACTGCGAAATGGCGCATGGTGCTGCGGATCCTGCCTCAGACTTTCGGCTTCATCCTGCCGCTGCTGGTCATGCTGTTTTGCTATGGGTTCACCCTGCGCACGCTGTTCCAGGCCCACATGGGGCAGAAGCACCGGGCCATGCGGGTCATCTTCGCCGTCGTGCTCATCTTCCTTCTCTGTTGGCTGCCCTACAACCTGGTTCTGCTCACAGACACCCTCATGAGGACCCACGTGATCCAGGAGACGTGTGAGCGCCGCAATGACATTGACCGGGCCCTGGACGCCACCGAGATTCTGGGCTTCCTGCACAGCTGCCTCAACCCCATCATCTACGCCTTCATTGGCCAAAAGTTTCGCTATGGCCTGCTCAAGATCCTGGCGGCCCACGGCCTGATCAGCAAGGAGTTCCTGGCCAAGGAGAGCAGGCCTTCCTTTGTCGCCTCGTCTTCAGGGAACACCTCTACCACCCTCTAAGACGCCTATGTGGGCTGCAGTCTCTCGGGCTTCCTCCCTCCCTTGCACATCTCATCCCAAGCCTCATATCCTGGTCCCGGAGTCAACACAGCCCTCACTGTGGCTATAGAAAAGAGCGGCGGCCACTTCCTCAGCAGGCCCCCAGTGCACAGCTTAGAAAGCCTGACCCGGCCCCTGCCACTTCCCATAATTACTCTGCCAACTACGGGAATCTTCTCATTCTACCACTGACCCCAAAACCCCCTGCTGAGAAGAACAAATCAAACCCACAGTGAGCTACCACTTCACGTCCATGGGATGGCTGTTATCAGAGGGCGAGAAAGGACTGAGGGAGCGAGCGAGTGAGAGAGCCAGGGCCAGCAGGACGTGGAGGAACTGGAACCCTTAGTGTTGGTGGTAGAAGTGTGAGATGGTGCGGCCACTCTGGACAAGAGCATGGGAATTTGCCTCAAAACATGGAGCAGAATGACTACGTGATCCCATAATCCCACTTGCAGATGTGTGCACGAAATAGCAGAAAGCAAGGGCTGGAAGAGATTTTTGCGTGGCAGTGTTCACGGCAGCGTTATTCCCAGTAGTGAAAAGGTAGAAACAAGCCAGACGTCCATCAGGGAAGGGACAGGTACACACGATGTGCTGCATGTGCGCAACAGCCTTAAAAAGAGTGAGCAGGCGTTACATCACAGATGAACTTTGAAAACATCATTATGTGTGGCCAGCGTGGTGGTGAAGTGGGTAAAACCACTTCCTGCGACACCAGCATCCCCTAATAGCACCGGTTGGTGTCCCGGCTGCTCCACTGCCAGTCCAGCTCCCTGCTAATGGCCTGGGAAAAACAGCAGAAGATGGACCAAGTGCTTCGGCCCCTGCACCCATGTGGGAGACCCAGAAGAAGCTCCAGGTTCCTGGCTTTGGCCTGGCCCAACCCTGGCCATTGCAGTCACCTGGGGAGTGAACCAGCAGATGGAAGATGTCTCTCTCTCTCTTTGTGTGTATCTGTCTCTTCTCTCTCTGTAACTCGAGTGTCAAAATAAATAAATAAATCTTTTTAGAAAAGAAAATGTTATTATCTGACACAAACCAGATAGGAAGGGCAAATATTTTATGATTATGCTCCTGTGCAGTGCCTGGAACAGTCACAGAGACGGAAGTGGAACAGCGGAGCTCGGGGGTGTGCGGAGGTCTCCTGTGATGGGCACAGGATTTCAGATTGGTGACGAAGCTCTGGAGGCGGACAGCAGCGATAGCTATACGATGATGTGACAGTACTTAATGTCACAAAGCGGTGCACTTAAATATGGTTAAGATGATCATCTTGCAGTGTAATTTTAAAAACTTTAACCACTGAGCCAGTGCTGGAAACACTTACCTATCATTTCTTGTAAGGTGAGATCATTAAATGTCTTTTTGCATCAACCACTGTTAGCTGGGCATTTATTTCATTACCTCCAGCCAACAGCATCCAAACTGGTACAGAGAGGCCAGGCCAGGGTGAGCAGAGGTCATGGACGAAGGTCTTTGCAAGAAACATAAGGAGCCTTCCAAAGGCTCGTGGACAATGCACATTCTCTGCTTACTTCTCTTTTCATTGACTTTATTTAATCGAGAGACAGATGTTCATCAGTGAATGGATAGATAAGCACAATGTGGGGGCCAGTGCTGTGGTATAACAGGTTAAGTCACTGCCTGTGATGCTCGCATCCCACGTGGGTGCAGGTTCCAGTCCCAGCTGTTCCCTTCCAATCCAGCTCCCTGCTAATGCACCTGGGAAAATAGCAGAAGATGGAGACCCAAATGAAGCTCCTGGCTTCAACCTGGCGCAGCCCTGGCCACTGTGGCAATTTGGGGAGTGAACCAGCAGGTGGAAGATCTCTTTCCCTCTCTGTCTCTCAGTCTCTCTCTGTCTCTCTGTCTTTCTCTGTCTCTCTCTCTCTCTCTGTAACCCTGTCTTTCAAATAAATAAATCCAGCTTCCTGCTAATGCAGACCCTGGGAGGCAGCAAGTGGTGGCCCAAGCATTTGGGTGGCTGTTACCCACATGAATACCCAAATAAATAAATCATTAAAAAATAATAAAATAAGGGGCCGGCGCCATGGCTTACTTGGCTAATCCTCCGCCTGAGGCGCCAGCACCCCATGTGGGCCCTGGGTTCTAGTCCCAGTTGCTGCTCTTCCAGTCTAGCTCTCTGCTGTGGCCCAGGAAGGCAATGGAGAATGGCCCAAGTGCTTGGGCCCTGCACCTGCATGGGGGACCAGGAGGAGGCACCTGGCTCCTGGCTTCAGATCAGCACAGCACCGGCCGTAGCAGCCATCTGGGGAGTGAGCCAACGGAAGGAAGACCTTTCTCTCCGTCTCTCTCTCTCTCACTGTCTATAACTCTACCTGTCAAAATAAATAAAAAATAATAATAAAATAAACACAATGCAGTACATACACACAATGGTAACTTAATCAACCTTAGGAAAAAAAAGAAATATGCCTTATATCATGGATGAACCTTGAAAACATTATGTTATGTGACATAAACCAGATATGAGAAACAAATATTTCATGATTCTGCTTCTGTGAACCAAGTCAGGCAACTCTGAATCCCTTTTTCACTCCCTAAATGCCCACAACAACCACGGCTGGGCCAGGCTGAAGCCAGGAGCCCCAAATGTGATCCACATCTCCCACCTGGGTGGCAAGGCCCCAAGCACTTCAGTCATTGCTACTGACTCCCACGAGCATTCTCTTGGAAATCCATCACCACACGAACTTTTGAAGTCCCTGGCAAATCCTTTTGCTAGCTTCTGGGCCCACAGAGACCGGACAGGAGCAGAGATAGGACTCAGAAGGCACCGAGGACTGCGTGTGGTCAGCAGCCAGCCGGCCTGGGTAGCACAAAGGCAAAGAGCTCTCCTTGGCTCATGCAGCAGCTCCTGCTGTCAATCCCCCTACTCTGTCCTCTCCTCCACCTACAGCACACACCCCATTGTTTGGGGCTTGACAAGAGAGCACTTAGTGCAGAATGGGAAAATGATTTATTCGAGAGAGGAGAGAGAAAATGTTCCCATCAGCTCCCAAATGCCTGCAACAGCCAGGGCAGGGCAGGGCCAAAGCCAGGGGCCTGGAACTCAAGCTGAGTCTTCCATGTGGATAGCAGCACCCAAGTGATTGGGCCACCACCTGCTGCCCCCCAAGGTCTGCATTAGCAGGAAGCTGGAATCCGAAGCTGAGCGGAGACTCAAATCCAGGCACTACAATATGGAATGCTGGTGTCCCCGCTGGCATGTTAACCACTAAGCCAAATGCTCACCCCTGGAAAAATGATTTCTAATAGGGAATTCAGAGAAAGCAAAGGATTTGGATCATTTCTTCACCAGTATTTATTGAGTGCCAGTGGTCCCAGGGAGTTAGGATATAGTGACCGTTAAAACAGAGGTCTGGGAGCCTGTGTTGTGGCACAGTGGATTAAGCCATCGCCTGTGATGCCAGCATCCTATAAGAGTGCCAATTCGAGTCCTGGTTGCTCTCTTCCAATCCAGCTGCCTGCTAATGCTTCTGGGAAAGCAGAAATGGTCCAAGTACTTGGGCCACTGTACCCACTCAGATACTGCTCCTGGCTTTGACCTGTCCCTGGCTGTTGTTGAGGAGTGAAACAGCAGATAGAAGATTCTCTCTCTCTCTCTCTCTCTCTCTCTCTCTCTCTCTCTCTCTCTGTAGCTCTTTCAAATAAATAAACAAATATTAAAAAGAGGCTTGGGGCCGGGGCTGTGGCGTAGCGGATGGAGCTGCCACCTGCAATGCAGCATCCCATATGGGAGTCCCGGCAGCTCCACTTCCAATACAGCTTCCTGCTATGGCCTGGAAAGCAGTGGAAGATGGTCCAAGATCCCACCTTGGAGACCTGGAAGAAGCTCCTGGCTCCTTTCTTCGGACCAGTGCCGTTCCAGCCGTTGTGGCCAATTGGGGGGTGAAACAGTGGATGGAATACCTCTCTCTCTCTCTCTCTCTCTCTCTGTATAACTCTGACTTTCAAATAAATAAATCTAAAAAAAAAAAAAAAGAGGCTTATCTTAACCAAGGTCGTGTTCGTAGGGCTTGTCTCTGAAGGGTCTTTTTCACAAGGGCCCCAGCTCTGAGCAGCCAGCTAAGAAAGTAGGAAAGGGGCCAGCGTTGCGGCGCAGCGGGTGAGGCTGCCTCGTGTGCTTCGAGTCTCCCACATCAGAGTGCCAGTTTGAGTCCTGGCAGCTCCACTTCCTTTCCAGTTCCCTGGGAAGGCAACAGAAGATGGACCTGAGCCTCTTCTACCCATGTGGGAGACCGGGATGGAGTTCCTGGCTCCTGGATTTGGCTTGGCCCAGACCTGGCTATTGTGGCTATTTGGGGAATGAACCAGGGGATAACAGATCTTTCTCTTGGCCAGCACTGTGGCGTAGTAGGCTAAGCCTCCATGGGCACCAGTTCATGTCCCAGTTGCCCCTCTTCCGATCTAGCTCTCTGCTATGGCCTGGGAAAGCAGTGGAAGATGACACAAGTGCTGGGCCCCTGCACCCACATGGGAGACCTGGAAGAAGTTCCTGGCTCCTGGCTTCAGATCAGCCCAGCTCCGGTCATTGCGGCCATTTGGGGAGTGAACCAGCAGATGGAAGACCTCTCTCTCTAACTCTACCTCTCAAATAATAAATAAAATCTTAAAGAGAGAGAGAGAGAGACCTTTTTCTTTCTCTCTCTCTCTCTCTGGCCTTTCAAATAAATAAATCTATTTTTTCACCAGAAAGTATAATTTCACTTTTTTATTAATATAGAGAGAACAGCTCATGCATTCACCATAGGTACAGTTCCAAGAAGACAACCACACCTCCCTCACTCGCCTGTTACCCTCCAACCCCCCTCCTCCCTCCCCTCTCTTCATCAGTTTTTGCAAGGACATAACTTTAATCCATTCGATATTCACAGGCTTAAAAATATCGCCACTAATCCTAATATTCAACAAGTCAAAACAACAAATTTTTAAAAACAAAAAATAAGTAAGAAAGCAAGAGTGTTTGGACTTCCATGGTTACCTAATAATCCCCTTAATGGTAGCAACAATCTGACCACTAAGCCAAAGAGATGGCAAGGAGGCAGGGAGGCGGGGGTGAAACCCTGCACACGGGCTGGCGAGCAGGTGATTTCCACCCGTAACCCATGAACCTGCCTCTCCTTCTGCATTTAGCAAACAGGAGTGATTCAGCAACCGTAAGCCCTGGCTGCACGCTCATTCTGCACCAGGCGCTGAGCTACACTCGGGATTTAGCAGGAGGGACACCGGGAGATGGGTATTTGCCCAAGAGCGGGACGGGAGCTGCTCGCCTGGGCAAGGCAGATGGAGCAAGTGGCTCCCTTGAGGGGATGGCTCTCAGAGAGAGGAGGCCAAGGCAGTCTCACCCTTGTTCTGGGACTCTGCTCTTTGCTCCTCCAGCAGGGCCTGGGGGCAGCGGTTCTCTAAGGAAAACCAGAGCATGCAGTGAGCCCAGGAGAAATGAGCCAGACTGAATTGCAGTAGGTGAACTCTGTTAATATTTATCCCTGTCTCTTCTAATCCCCCCCCCCCCGCCCCGTCTCTGACTTGCCCTTTCTCACAAGAACAATCTTGACATAATTTACTAACCAAGCTATCACCCAGACAGGGCAAACCCAGGGCCTGCCTTTGAAGTAGCGATTTCTCTCTTCCCCCTGTGGTTCCAGGCCTGAGTCCCATGGTCTCAGCGTCCCGCACCTCTCTGCCTAGATCCGCCTGCTCGGTGTGAACAGGCCCCTCTGGCTTCCTGAGCCACGTGTGCTCCTCAGCTAACACCAACAGCACCTGCCTCTTACACCCTCTCCCCCTGAGTGCATGACATCTCTCCCCATCATGACCCCCAGTCTCTGCAGGAGACTAAGAAGCACCCCCAGGGGACAGGTCACAATGGACTCATTGCATGAACCCCGCCCCGCCCCGCCCCATGGTGACATTTCAAGCACTGGGCTGAAAGGTGAGAAATGACATGCATGACCTGCTCAGAACATTGCACTTGCAAGAGTAGAACAAGTCTACATTTTCTCTTAAAAAAAAAAAAAAATTATCAGTTTGAGAGACAGACAGAGCTCCCACACACTGGTTCATTCCCCCAAATGCCTTCAATAGCCAGGATTGGGCTGGGCTGAAGTCAGGAGTGTGAACACAATCTAGATATCCCAGTGGGTGGCAGGGACCCAATGACTTGAGCCATCATGGCTGCCTCCCAGGGTCTGCAGTAGCAGGAGCCTGGGAATCAGGATGAGAGCGAGGTATTGAGCCCAGGTGCCCCACTGTGAGACATGGACACCTTAACTGGCAGCTCAGCCCCTAGGCCACATGCCCACCCTTGGTTCACTTTTTCTACACCTGGACTCATCAGTGCCTGGAACTCAGGGTTTGGGGTCTCAATCCTCCCAACAGAGGTTAAGGATCAGCTGCGCTTGGCCACGGGAGCAAGCTCAGACTGCAGGCAGGACCGTAAAAGAGACCAACACAAAACTCAAAAACAAACTGACCCCTCTGTTGAGGACAGATGCCATAACAGTCAGGGTTCAAGCCGAGCAGAACCCCGAGAAGCAGGGATTTGGGGCAGGGTCTTTCCCCTATGCAACTGTGCGAGCTGGTGCAGCAGACTGCACCGGGCTACTAGCTTTGCTTTCGGTGCCGAGACCTGAAGCTGGCAGGACAGACTGCCTGGAAGGAAAGACAGACATAAGTGGGGAATAGCAAGGCCAAGCAGGAACCTACGAGGACAGGCTAACACCCGCATTAGGCCAAGTTCAGTATGCAGTGACCTGCCGGAGATGCTGGTGCCCTCCATCACTAAGGTAAATACACACTGGAGAGCCTGCAGCCCAGCCATTGGCCTGGACCAACAAGAAGAGCCAGCCACAAAGCAACAGTGTGCAGTAGCGGCTGGCGCCTTGCAGCTGGTTCACCTGCTGGCGCTGAGCAAACACACAGCTGCCGCTCCCCTTCCACCATTTGGATCTCCTGTAACAGGGCTCTGCTAGACCAGAAGTATGAAAAGGAGAGCACTGGGGAAAACACGGGTCCAGCCTAGCTAAGTTGACTCAACACCAAGCCTCCACACAGATGGGTGCGAACGCTAAGGAAAACAGTGTTGACTGTCGGCCAGAGAGGGAGGGGCTCCACCCAGGAGCATGAGGGCTTCTGCAGGCACTGACAAGGTTCTCCTCCCTACCCCAGAGGGTGCACCCTGCGGCCATCACCTTAGCATCCTCTAAACTGGAATACGCTCCCTGTAACCCGCAATATGATTACACACCATAAACATGTTTTAATCATCGAAATAAAAGGAAAAAAATCAGGAGAAAGTGATCAGGAGTAGGGACAAGTTGGGTCACTTTGAGGAGCCACTGTCAAGTGTCTGTCCAGTGCAGGATTTTATGTCCTGTGTTTAGGGGATCAGAAGTTGCCAAGTAGGAAAATATCATCATTTACCGTGGGAAGAAGAGTGACTAGGTGCAGCCTTTAAGGAGACAGTAGGAGGCCGGCGTAGTGGTGCGGTAGGCTAAGCCTCTGCCTGCAGCACCAGCATCCCATGTGGGCCTCAGTTCACATCCCTGCTGCTCCACTTCTGGTCCAGCTCTCTGCTGATGGCCTGGGACAGCAGTAGAAGATGGCCAAATCCTAGGGCCCTGGCACCCATGTGGGAGACCCAGAAGAAGCTCCTGGATCCTGGCTTTGGATCAGCCCAGCTCCAGCCATTGCAGCCATTTGGGAAAGACCTTCTTCTCTGTAACTTTACCTCTGAGATAAATAAAAATCTTTAAAAAAAAAAAAAAGAGTAAACTAGTAGATGGAAGATCTCTCTCCATCTGCCTCTCTGCCTTTCAAACAAAATGAAAGTAAAGCAATAAAAATGTATGTAGAAAGAACACCAGCAGGAAAATGATCAAACCAGGGCACTTGCCCCTCACCTCTGTCCCTGCTGGTTGCTAGGGTGGCAGCTCCCATCCTGTCGCCTTCTCTCTGAGATCCTATAAGGGCTCCCTTACCCTGCCCTGTGCCTTCTGGGGATGGTAACAGCTCCCAGCTCTTAGTGGCCCTGGGGCATTATCCCCAGACTCCCCCCCCCCTTTGTTAAGGGTCCCTTTATTCTGCTCCTACCGAGTTTGATCAAGCCCCTTGCCCCGCCAGACTGTGCCCCTGGTTCCTGTCAGGACCCTGGCCCGTAAATCTACCTGTTAAGCAAACGACCCATTTCGAACACAGAGCACATGTAGAAGCACTGTCCGGAGGCCTCCAACATTGCCTGGCTGCTTTTGGTCTACTGTTAACAAACCCGCTTACTGCTTAACTCAGATTAGATAAGATGCCATTTTTCAGAGAGCAACGTTACCAGGAAATGAAGTTTAAAAAAGAAGACCGATACTGTTGAGAGGAAGAACCTCAGATCTAGGCGATCTTCAAAGCACAGGGTCCTTGCCTGCAGGGAGCCAACTCTCAGGCTGGCCTGGCAGCCCCACCCACAGGCAGGCCCCAGCTCCTTCAGTTTGGGGAAGACCCTACCTTGATCACATACACAGAAACAATACAAAACTGTGGGCGCTAATTTTTCTTTCAAGATTTTATTTATTTATTTGACAGGTAGAGTTACAGACAATGAGAGAAAGAGACAGAGAGAGGTCTTCTATCCACTGGTCTCACTACCCAAATGGCCACAACAGCAGGAGCTGGGCTGATCCAAAGCCAGAAGCCAGGAGCTTCATCAGGGTTTCCCACACTGGTTCAGGGGCCCGAGGACTTGGGCCATCCTCCGCTGCTTTCCCAGGCCATAGCAGAGAGCTGGATCAAAAGAGGAGCTGCCAGGACTTGAACCAGTGCCCATATGGGATGCTGGCACCGCAGACAGAGAATTACCTACTGCACCACAGCACCAGCCCCACGCAGTAACTGTTAACACGGAGGAAGTCCATATTGGCCAACCTCACCCAGCACAGGAG